GGGACATGATTTTAAGACATGACTTGAATTATGGGGTTAGTATTCAATGTAAGTATCGTGAATTTTAAATTTTAGTTTGAACTGAAAGAGAGGTCAGAAAAGTTAAACTCTAATATTGGCCATTTTTCTTATGTTTTTGAGGCAGGGTTCTAATTTAGATGTTTGTCAACTATAATAGCGTCATATTTTGTTTCGTTGCAAACATGAAAGATTATATTATTGTTTATTTTTATTGAAGGGCATATCATATGACGGCGTGGGAAAATGGTGACATGGGTTGACTTGCTCTATTTTGGTAAACAAGTTGTTGCCAACCTTCAATAAATCTGAGTGATATTGTGTGCAGTTGTAGTAAAGAATTTGTGTGTGGATATGAGGTCTTGGCGTCAGAAAATGTGGCTAAAAGTGTGCCAGGAGATCGAGGAATATTTGCTGTATAAATGTGAAGACAGTAAAGGTCAGGTGCTAGACATCTACTTTTGAAGATCTCAGCAACGATGCTGTATGATAATGTGTTGCCTTGTCTAACAGCTTCTTTGTTCTAATTATGATTTTTTAATAAAGAATAAAAATGCAATCCATTGTGCAAATGCCTTTTCAAATACCCTGGCAATATAAAGAACTATCACAGTTCAAAATTGCTTTATTTATATTGCCAAGGAAATTGTATTAGTCAAACGATGGACTCGATCTATCATAAAGTGTATAGGTCAAAAGCCAAGGTTGAAGGTTGGTGTTAGGTATAATTTGGTGCTCGTGTAAGGTAGGTCGAATTTTTAAAACAATTTAAATAAAGCTTATACGATACGTATATACATATAAATATTAATTAATTAATTTTTTATTATTATCTATAAATAGCAGAATATGAGCCAATATATTTTGAAATTTATATCATATCTATTTAAATGTTAATACAAATCTTTGTTAAAAACCTCATATATTTATTTGAATTTTTTACTTTTGGCCGTCCAAAGTACCAACTACATCTTATTTTCTACCAGAAACCACTCTCAATGTTGAAGACGAATTTTTACTGAAAGAAAAAAAAACACACATCACTATAAAACCAATACATTCATTCCTCCGCTCAGAATTGAAAATTACATTATCATTGTAAAATCAATACATAAAACAGCTGCACTTGTAGGTTATGGCATAATAATATAATGTCTTATAATTTGAAACTATCAATTGTTGTATATTTTCTGTGTCTATCGGAAGGATCAAGGATGTATTCAATGATTTATATCTATCTTCTTGGTTTTGCTTAACTAGGTTAAATATATGAATGTGTAAAGTTGAATCAATTATCAAGTTTTTTTTGATAATACAATGATTCAGGACATAGTTGTATTTGATTGTTATTCATGAACCAAGCATAGTTGTAAGTACTTGTTTTAATGATAATATTAATAATTAAATCAATTGTTATACATTTTATCTCTGTTAAATAGTTAGTGATCTCAAAAAGTTTTCAACAGCAATTAAATATGAAAAATTATATTTATATGATACATTTAAGGTGACGTTTTAAATTTTCTTAGTAAAAAAACGATATTATTATTACTAACAGTTTTGGAAATGCATGCCATTTTGAATGCGTTATAATAATAATAATAATGTTTAGTTTGTTGTTATTTCAAGAATTACAATTTAAATATATAATATTATAATAGAATGCGAAAAAAATTGTCTCCAAAAGCTGTAGCTTGCGGGGAGATAAGAGTTCAATACTTATTAATCTTATGAATTATCCTAAGCAACACTATTTCCAGATTCAAATACAATTAAATATTAACATTTTATTTAAAACAAAATAAAAATTAAGATAAAGATAAATAATATTATAGTGATATACAGTAATGTGTTAAAAGACAAATTGTTTAAGTGTTTATATAAAAAGTAACTAAAACTAATTTTATTAGTTTCTATTCAAATTATGATATTGTTACTTTATAGAAAACATATTTTTTATATAGGGTAAAATGATCAAAACTGTAAATATTGATACAAAGATAATTACAATAATATGGATTTCTTTTACCGAATTCACTATTACATTTGATCATTTGAAAAGTATTGCTTACAATTTTTCGAGTATCATAATATTGTGCTTAAAATTAAACTCTTTATGTTTATATAAGTATAAATTACATAAAACTTCTTTAATATATAGTTGTTTAAGGTTGAGTAAGTTATAAGTTTTATATATAATATCAGTATTATCTTATCATTACTTTCAAATTTATCGAAATAATTTGTAATATTTTGTCACTGTTCTTGATACAAATAAAACAAAATTAACAATTTTTAGTTCTAAAATTGAATTACACTCGTATAAAACTATAGTAAGAAAATATTAACATTTCTTTGTTGGTGTCATGAAAGAAAAAGGATCGTTGAGGTGTGAACTATGATGGTAATGGCCATAAAATAGTGATTTTAAAGAACTTAGATGAACGAATGTGGAACATAAAATCAAATTATTAGACGTCATTGAGCAGGAAGTGAAATGAAGACGTGAACCAATACAAAAAAAAAAAACGGTGAATCGAGTCAGTCTGGCAAATTCCATTATATAGGCGCTGATGGAAAATAATATAAATACCTTATAAAATTGGTTCTGAGAGAAACAATAGTATTATATACAGTTTATATACGATGAACCGAGCTCGTATTACACGAATCGAAGAGATCACCGTAATAGAGGGTGTACTTTACATTGTTTAATCGGATTTATTATACTATAATAATATGCTGAAGTCTCGTCTGGTATAGTAGTGTCATTGCAGCAGGTAAAAAAAAAATGATCATATGTACTTATCGTCATCTTCGGGAGTGTGGTTTTTAATGTATAACTCTTCGTTCACATGCTCCTCGTTTTATTTTTGTTACCGGGTGTGCGGTAGTACTGGTCGCGGTACATCGGTACCGGATGGTTGGATGGGGTCGGCGGCGTAGGTGTTTGCGCACAAATTACAAAACGCAGTCTCTACACGCCGCACACACATAACTCGATTTCCGCGGCGGCTCACACAGTCTTTTGTATAATACATCATGTTATTATTATTATTATTATTATTAGTACAATGTTTATGACGAAGTACACACTATACGCACGAGTTATTATCATAGTAATTATTATTATATCGTTGTATATAACGGCAAAACCTCTATATATACGTTACCGTTCAACGGAAGGTGGGGGGGCCTCCGCCTTTCACGCAGCGGCACGCGCGGTCCCTTTATATTGTTTGCTCACAATTACCATATTATTCACACACGAGTAACACAGAGATTTCCTGCTGCAGTCGCGACTTGAGAGTACCTCCAAGCCACGGAATCGGAACTCACCCCGCATAATTGTATCATCACATATAGGTAGGTCATATACGTCCGACGACGAAGCCAGTCTCGATGTTGTTAGAAGGGGTTGTGTGGCCGACCCAGTCGGATTTCGGTATACGCGTGCCTCGTGCCATACATTGTTTTCTCGAAAACAATAATATTGATATGACCACGTCGATAACGCGACGTTATTGGCCCGTTGCCGACAACATTCGTTTTGGTTTATTTGTTGATATAGTATTTTATGTTTGTACGATTTTATGTACGTACCCGGTACATCTGAAATTTAGATATTATTATATACTGTTTATGTAGTGGTACCACGACGAGTATTGTTATCAAATGTTTTTAATACCTGTATAGATGCTGAAAGTGCTCACTTTTCACAATTTTCGATGTCCCGACGGATCTGGGTTTTAGTAAGGTATTTCGAATCATGACTTGTAATAAAGTTTGGTGTAATATAGCATATTTAGCAATTTACTAGAATTAAAAATGTTTAAATATTATAGTTAATATTTGTGAGTTTGAAATGCTATCTATAATAGAACAATTAATATACTACCTATATTATTGGATGGTAGATACAATAATAAAGTAGGTAGTTCCTATTTGTTTTTACAGCATCCATCCACATATAACTCAGAAATGTGTCAAATATTTTATCTAAATACATAATTAAAAATTCGTTTGTATACTGCATAAGTTTCTAATGTTATTCATGTTATAATAATAACAAAAAACATAATCAAATTTGTCAAAAACTAGGAATGTTTTGTTTTTTTCCTAACCTATCAGCTACCTACTTCATATGCTACCTAAATCCGATTTGCTACCAAAAACCACCTTCAAACTTAAAGTTTGAAGCATTTTTACTATTCCAAAAGAAGATGACACTAAAAAAAACACATCAGTATAAAATCAATTCATTAATAATTCCGCTTATAAACTAAAATAGTATTCTATTAAAAGAATAAAAAAAAAAAAATTTGATTTATATATGATAAGATTTTTGTTTTTGGTTAAAAATGTAAAGATATTCATACATTGTGTAAACCCTAAAAAATTAAATAGTCACTAATTTTTTGTATAAGAGTATACGTTTAAAAATTTTACAAAAATCATCAAAATGACAAACATTTTCAAACTAGGTTTATAGTTTGAAAATGTATACAAATTTCTAATAAATTGTTTTCCATTTTAATTAAAAGATAATAACTTAGATTAAGTTAAATTGTGGAATTGGAAACCACATAATAATGTAGTAGTTTTTCCAAGCGATTGAAATGTTGTTAACATTTTGATGAAAAAATATTTAAACGCGTATAATAACGATTCATAATTCAACTGTTTTGGCTGTTTCATTATTATTCAAAAAACATTGAAAGTAGAAACTTGGAACATTCCATGTATACTTAAATTATCGTTGCTGAAATACAGATTTTATACTGATATTTTCCAAGTATTCATACTAATTTTAAGCTCGGTATTTATATTAAATAAAATGTGTAAACATTTTATTTTTAACTTCAATAAACTAAAAAAAAGTTTTTATAACTTTATTTTTATTTTAATACTTTCTTTTGTTTGATTAGTGAATATATGAGAATTATTAACATAGTCAAAAAATAACATATTATCATTTCACAATGGCAGAGAGGGAATTTGAAGTATTTGTCGTAAGAATTCGCACTAATCTCACATCTTTGAGGACTGTTTCGAGATCGGAGAACATGCAAGAAACTATTAGAATGGCATTCCTAAGGGCGTTACAGCTTACTGAACAAATTAGTGTCAAGAAATTAGCAGACAACCATGGTTTAACAGCTGTGGCTACTGGCCATCTTAGTTGTATAACATAATTCCTAAGCACCGATGTAGAAACAGTGCCATTATATTTTGACTACATTACAATAGAATTTTGTTTATCTAAACAAATAGTTAATGAAAACAAAAATGAACCTTAAATGTATTGCACACTATTGCAAAGCTTTAATGAATTACTAAAATAACGTCCGTCAGACTAGTAATATATAATTAATTATTTTTAGATTATTTTTTATGTGGCATAGATTTTATAGAATTACATCCGTCTGGAAAATATTTGGTCTTACATCATAATAATATAATATACGATATAGTATCATAATTATTTATTATATCAAAATTGTAGTATATTAAAATGCCTCAGCTTTAATTCCTTTGTGCATTAATAAATACGAGAGAGTATATTTTATTTATATTTTATTAAGACCTAAATATATCATTTGACGGTACAAGCAACGTTAAGTATTTGTCAAGAACTCCACATTGTGCCTGAGCGTTATTATTCTATACAACATTGAACGATACATTGGAATGTTAGGGCTAGTACAATGTACATGCTTGCTAATATATTTCGAATTATTTCAAAATAATATATATTCACACAGAGTATACACACTGAAATTCATTTAAACTTATGAACACCGGCTACATTCTAGTCATTCCAAAAACAAGAAAATTCAAATTCATTTTGCTATAAGTATAACATAAATGAATAATTTTAACACTTTTATTGTCTCTAAAAATAAAATACATTTTTGAAATGTTAAAATGATTTTGTATGTTAATAGTGGTGAAATATATTATTAATATAGCATGCAATTAAATGAGAATCGATTTTAAATATAAAATTATCATTTAATTCATAAAATTATTCATATATTTTAAATTTGTTATACTTGTTATAGAGGAGCATGAGCGTCTGACGTATGATATAAGATTTATGATACAGTCATAAAAAAGTATTTACATAAAATAAGGATTTTATTTTTATCATTGAATTACATTTTCAACTATCTCTGAGAATTATTTTGTTTGTTTTAAGATTTTTTAATATATTTATGAATAGATAATATTTTTGATAAGCAAAGTCTTACCAAGAAAATTGTGAGTAGTCTTCTGATTTCTTTGGAATTTATTTATAAGTCTTAGAGACTTTCATACCATTATTCAATAAAACAAATTGAAAAATATTCAACATTTTGTTATAACATTTAAATAACAAACTCAAGTTAGAATTTCTACAAATATTAAATCAAGTGTATAACATAAAATTATTATATATTATTCATTATTTATAATCTTTTTTTAAATAAAATAAATAAAGAATACAAATTTTAAAATTAATACTTTTTTTAATGGCCAAAAAAATAATATATTTGAAATTAACATAATTATACAATTAAAAAATATATTATTTAAGAGAAGTTTTTAAGAACTATAGAGACAACAACTTAATACAAATAAAGAACAATATTTAGTGTTAACAATTCGGAATCGGAATATAATATTATATTGATTATTAAATAGTTTTTTCGTATTTGCATAGTTCTTTAAAATAAAAATACATTTAACTACTATAATTTGTTAAATAAAAAGAAATTTAGTTATTGTGTTCAGTTATAATTTTAAAAGTGTAAAATATTGTTTATGTTATAACTTGAACAAAGGTAATTGTTTTGTTTATGTAAAACGAAATAATTCTCGATAATACGTCGAAACCTAGTACTAATTGTTTTAATGAATTTTATAATAATGTTAGTATTTGTCTGACATGGAAAGCTATGTAAAAGTTACTGTTAACTTACAAGATGAAATATTTACAGTTTTTGAACCGGTAGAATATGCATGTTATTTACATTGACTTAAAACCAAATTATAACAATTTTACTTTTCACGTGTACATGAAACAAAAATGTAGACGAAAGTGTTTAACAAATAATTGTAAAATAAAACATTGTGAGAAATCTAAATATTCTCAAAACCAAACAAATACATAATGCATAATATTGTATTATGTTGCCACATCACTTTAAGCCACTCCAACTGTTAGTATATGTGTTCAAAAAGCACACAAGTTTAACAATATATTATAATTGTAAACGTGAAAAAAAGTTTTCATATAATATGTAACTCAACTGTACTACGGATAAAAAAAGTTATGTAACAAAAAAATAATAATACTATTATCTTCTGCTGATATAATAATATAATATTGGATGACAAAATTCTCGTAGGGTAATATTAATATATTACTATAAAATATTACTCGTACTCAATATTATTCAGAATTTAAAAACAGTATCTATGTAATTATTATAATAACTTAATATAAGTACCTATAAACTTGATAGGTACAATACATTTTTAATTTAATGCAATAAACTTAAAGTTAAATTAGATTGTGTAATACGTATGAAAATTATATAATTATTCGCCGGCGCTCTGATTAGGCAAAACTGGTACATATGTGTGTACGAAATCAATAATATGCTATTACTTGTTATTATAATAATATTATTATGGTTGCTTATTAAAATTTATAATTATGTACATTTTATGAAAATAATATGGACAAGTTCTAGATTGGTAATAATATTATAATAAGTTTCTTAAAACGATTCTGATTGGAATTTATAATCATTTTTATTTAATAATGATTTATATTTGTATACCTATACGTCATGTATCTCATACGATATTATAATAGGGACTACTTAATTTCAATATTATGCCTCCTCATCGGTTTTCCAATATAGACTTAGATGAAATCAATAAAAATAATAATTTATGGTGATCAAACAAGATGTGTATTTTAGTCGAAGGAAAGAATTATAATTTTATTACATAAAGAAAAAATAATAATAATAAAATCAACACAAAGCGTTTCAATAGTTAATATTTGAAGATAGAGTATGTGTTTGTTCAATAATTAAATAGTTTTTAGATCCTGAGCAGAGTTTATCAAGTTGGTACTTTAAATAACTTAAGTCAATACCTATAAATATTATATAATAAAATATCTTTATAAATATAAGTTGACAGACAGTCTCCGATCAGAATCATTTTTCATGGTATACAATGAATTATGATTGAATTCAAATTTAACTCATCCATAACATAGTCCTACGCAATGGCAAGATGCACTCACGTGACACCTAATATACAGCTGAGAGACTACCTTGATTTTATTTCTTTATACCTATAATGTTTATTTCATATAAAACATTTGATAATATTGCATCATAATTATGTGGTATACAATAGACATCGACAGTTTTAATAGAATTATATACTTATATATTTACCATATAAGTCATACTTACAGAATGTCAGCCATTTATAACACATCCGTTATAATTTAGGTGTATATTCTTTAGTATTAATATAGTATTACTAATATTATACAGAGAAACGGTGTAATATTGTAATAATATAGTTTATTGGATGAAGAAAATTGATTTTATTTAATTCAATCAATCGAATAAAATCCTTTTGAAAATTGTTTTTTTATATTTTTAATCTAAATAGTATATAATACAAAATAGTAAGTAATATATTTTAACAAAATTTGCTATGTTCAAAATAAAATCGAAATAGAAAAACAATGTGGAGAAATTAAGTTATAATACGATTTATTAAACATATTGGAAGGGTTCAATTTAATTGATGGTTAATGTCCAAATCCACTCATATATTATTCGTGTATTGTACTACATTTATTGAATATAAAAATAATATTTTACAGTAACATGAAAACATGAATAACCAAAATAAGACTGGTAAAATCTTTTAACGTGTAATATAATAATATCGAGTAAAAATGTATGGGAGAAATAACAGATAATTATGTGTGCGCTTAATTGATAAAATATTTGATCTCCGTCATAGTTAAGTTCATATGCAGCCCCACCGTATGGTTGTATTACATAATATCATAGGTAAATAATTTATGGTTAGCAATAAAACTATAAAAATATGATACGCACGTATTGATATCAATATTAGTTTTCTTATGAGTTATTATAAAATCAATGGACTTGGATTAATATTTCACTATGTCAAACAAAGGATGATGTCAGCGGGTGGTAGCTCGATGCTGTGGCAACGCACATGCGATACTGACTGTCTTTTGGAAACACTACCAAAACTAATTTAATGTTAACGAAAAAAATGATCCGAGTAGGGGCTGATGTTTAAACAGATCAAAACACTTACAATCACCTGACCCGCAGCACTTAAGTATAAACATTTTCTTGCTATTTCTTTCATGTTTTCGTACATCACACTGAGCTGCGACAAAACTTCCCACTCTCGCTGTAAGTGTATGGTATAAATCCACCATAGACACACGGCTGCCGCGATGATAATTCTAACAATAAAACAAGGGTAAACATCCCATCCCTCGCCGCCACTCGTCCCGACGCCACACCGTCGCTTATAAAACACTGTGTGTCACTACCGCTGTGATTTATTACCGTCCCCACGTACTACGTTCCCGCTATTAAAAACCATTAATAATCCAAAAACCGCGCACATTATACTGAATTAATCCCCGAAGTTGAGAGAACGGCCATCGGAGGTGTGGGCCGGATGATAGGGCTGTTATAGTGGGCGGTGGGGGGGGGAGGGGCTCCGGGGCAACGCGCACGCAAACGGACAATTTTTGCATATATGTTTCCCGCACGGTTATAGCAGCCGATGGCACTCCCATACATTGCCGAGTGCAATACGCACTACACTTTGCTCACTATCGATTTCGGTGTGAATGCTGGCCTAATCCCAAAACCCTGCACGTTGATTAGGACGAGGGAAAATTTGAATATTAATATTCATAGTGTATATATATACGTATTGCACAAGACGTGTGTGTGTGTGCACTCTCTGCGAGAAGAAAATAATTCCTTTAGTCGATGATGTTATAATCGTACGAAACCCATTTTTCTTCTTTTCAAATTTCCACTGTGTACATCGCGCTTCTCGTGCACGCCAAATATTATATCATGTTATAATATGCACACTGTATACAATCATACTA